TGTAGAATAAGTTTGTCAAGTTCCTGAAAAATGTCCACCTGAGATTTTTATTGGAATTGGCACTAAATTTACAGCTCGAATTTAGAAAATAAACATTCTTAATTATATTGTATCTTCCCATTAACGATGGTTAAGACCTTCTCTTATGTCTTCAATAATCGTATTTGTAGCTTTTTTCCATAAAAGAACTCTCACCTTCTTCTGTTAAATTAATTCTGCTACATTATATGGATTTTTATTGCTAGTGTTCCTTTTTCCAATACATTTCCTAATTGATTGTTCTGGTATGTAGGATATTATTGATTGTTGGTATACTGATCTTGGAATCAGTACTTCAATGTTTAGAGTTTTTTTAGTCTATTAGCTTTTCTATCCCCTTAATTTTTGGATTGTTCTATGCAGTTATGTCATATCTTATGCAATAATAGTGGTCCTCTCCTTTCCAGTCTGTATGATTATTTTTCTATCTCCCCTTGCATTAGCTAGGACCTCCAAATAATTTGCATAATAAGCACGATATGATGAGGAATTTCTACATGTTCCCAATTCTCTGAGGATGTTTGATGTAGGAATTTGGAGAAAGCCTTGTCAGGTTAAGAAATTCCTTTACATTCCCTGCCAAATGCTTTTTAAATCTGAATGATATAATAGTCAATCAATTGCTATTTCTAACATTTTTTATTTTACACTATGGTTTTCTCTCTGTTAGTCTATTTAACAAGACCAGAGAAACTATTTGGATTTGCTCTGAGGTAAGCTGTTTACATTGGTGAATTAACCTCACTTCAAATGGATGGTGGATGTGTGTTTTTTAATATACTGACAGAATTAAATTTTATTAGGATTTATAATTTTACTATTCAATGTTCACAGGTGATTATGCTTTATAATTATTATTTTGTTCTTGTCTAGTTTTGAGTTCATTAATGTAAATCAGTTGAATAGATTTCCTTTTTAACATTTTCTTAACTCTCCAAAAATAGTTTGTATAAGAAAAAAAGTCTGGAAAAAAAAAAAAAAGAAAAAGTCCTGTTCTATGCCTTGAAAACTTTGTAAAATACTTGCAGTTAACTGCCTGGGTCCTTCCCAATGCTTTTTTTTTTTGCTCGGGCAGGAATTTTAGCTTACAAATTTAGTTTAATGTGATGGTTGTTAACTTGTTCAAATTTCTATTTCTTCTCACACCAATTTTAATAACTTATAATTTTCTCAATACCTTGTTAAAACTTACTGCCATCGAATTTCTAGTCTCATCTATGAATTTCCCAAATCTCCACTGTCTTTACACGTCACATTCCCTTTATATTTCTAATATTTATTCTGTTACTTCTTTCTTCCTTTGGTCATCCTGAACGATTGTCTACATCTTGGTCCTATGCAAACAATAAAAACTCATTTTAAGGCTTGTATTTTTTAGAGCAGTCTTAAGTTCACAGCAAAATGAAGAGGGAGATGCAGAGTATTGTTCCATATAAACACCTGCCTCCACACATGCAAAGCCTCCCCATATATCAAATGTCCCCCCCTTCTCCACTGATGTACCAAACTCGACACATCATTCTCACCTGAAAATCTACAGTCCCTGCTTTAAGGGTCAATCTTAGTGTTTAGTTTCTGTGTATTTGGAACAGATTGTAATGAGCTGGTATTCATCATTAATATCATTATATAGTATTTTCACCTTGGCAAAAAGATCCCGTCTGTGCTCTGATATCAATCTTCCTTCCCCAGTAATTTTCCCACTGAGTCTTTTAACTGTCTCTCTACTTTGCCTTTTTCAAAGTAGTTGAAAACAAATCACAGAAATTAGTCTTTTTTTAGTTTTGGCCTTCCTTTCACTCAGTAATATGGTATTTAAGTTCTTTCTCATAAGGCTTTATAAACTTGTTTCTTTTTAGTTCTGGTAATATTCATTGTTTGAATGTCACCACAGTTCTGATTTCAGTTTATATTCACCATAATGCAGAACATCTTGGTTGCATTCAAGTTTTTTTGCAATTATGGAATAATCCTACATAAACTCTCATGCACAAGGTTTTTGTGTAGATCATGTTTTCAGCTCTTTGTGTAAATACCAAATAATCTCAAATGCTGGCCCTGTATGTTAAGAATGTAAATTTAGCTTTGTAAGATGTCCAACCACTCTTCCAAACGTGACTGACCATTTTGCTTTCCTACCAGCAACTAAATGAGCATTCTGTGCCTGTGTCCCTGCTGGCATTTAGTGGTCAGTGTTCCAGATTTTGGACCATTCTTCGCAAGTGTGTAGGGGTAGTTCCATTGTTTTCATTTGCAT